AAAAAAATGCGTTTGAGCGGTAATTTGGAATTATGTGAATGAGAGAGACCCAAAACGGAGAGAAATAGAAAAGCTGTAAGTGCTGCAGTGGCGAGATGAAATGCCACGATGAAACAATAGAAAAGAACAGTATTTGAGATTTTAGGAAAATTATTTTAGAGTGGTTACATTATGCATGTCACCACTGGATGATATGTTCCTTTCGGGATCACTGGACAGGACAATCCGTCTGTGGGATTTACGAATGCAGAGCTGTCAGGTTGGTTTCATGTTAAATAGTATAGCATTTCGTACGTTTCATGTTAAGTTGTACAGCACATGGTTGTTATTTTTTGTTTTTCTGTAGCTTCATCCAGGCAGGGACTGATGCATTTTTGCAGGGTTTGATGCATGTTCCGTCGAGACCTGTGGCTTCGTTTGATCCGGAAGGTCTGATTTTTGCGGCAGGAATAAATTCAAATACAATCAAGCTGTACGATTTGCGATCATTCGATAAGGTTGCTGATGTCTTAAAATGTACTCTATCTCTAATTATACCTTAGTGACACACTTTAAGAGTTAGACTGACAGATAAGCTAGCAAAACTGGATCCAAGTTTTAGCTAACTAAAAAAAAATGAGGCGTGGTACTTTCTCGGAAGCGAAAGGGAGAGAGAATTCCTGCTAAAAAACATACGCGTAGCTGGGAAATTCAAATTTCGTTCAAGAGTGATTATCTGAACTCAAAATTGCCACTTACTTGACACTAAAAACGCTAAGAACCGAGTCAGAGTTGGAACCTTTTAAAGCATATATAAGACTGTGGTCATTCTAGTAGTTTATCTGATTTTGACTGAAGGATTAAGACTAGAACATGCAGTCTTCCTGTAAGGTAATTTTGAGGTTTTCTGTGAGGGCTAGCACTAGGGCTGAGATTTTCTCCGAAATAACCCATGAGATTTTCGCTGCATATCAATGTCCGGTTGCTGAGACAAATTTATTTGTCCATTTCAGCAACTGAAAAAAATTTGTTCGAAAGAAGTCTTTCTCAGTGGACAGCTACTTAGATGAGGGGGAGGAGGGGG